AGGCAGAAAAAGAGTGGAAGACAAAACTACAAACGAAGACCAAGGACAACCAACAGAAAACAATAACAAATATGGTAGGTAATAATTCAACTATATAAATAATCACATGAATGTCAATGCTCTAAGTGTGCCAATTAAAAGATTGACAGAGTGGATAAAAAAAATAAGACCTAACTATATATTGTCTATAAGAAACCCACTTTAAATATGAATACACATATAGACAAATATTAAATAAATGGAGAAAAATATACCATCATAACACTAATTGGTAGAAACCAGGAGTAGTTATATTAATTTCAGAGTAGACATAAAAGCAAGGAAAATTTTCAAGGATACAGAAGGTAATTACATAATGATGAAAGGGTCAATTCTCCAGGAATATATATCAATCTTTAACATGTATGTGCCTAACAACAGAGCATCAAGCTACATAAGGCAAAAACTAACTGATCTGCAAGGAGAATTAGATGAGTTCACTATTAGTTGGAGATTCCAACACACCCTCCATCAGAAATGGACAAATTCAAGAAGCAGAAAATCAACAAGAACATAGTTGTATTCAACAACACCATCAAGCAACTGGATAAAATCAACATCTATAGATTATTTAATTCAATAACAGCAGAATACACATTCTTCTCAAGCTCACTCACATGGAACATTCACCAAGATAGACCACTTCTGGGCCATAAAGTACACTTTACAGATTTAACAAAATAGAAATCATACAACGTCTGCTCTTAGACCACAATGAAATTTAACGAGAAATCCATAATAGAAAGATTTGAATTGAATTGCACTGAATTGCATTGAATGAATTGAATTAGTAATAACCTTCCAAAATCGAAAGTATCAGGACCAGAGGGGCTCACTGGTGAATTCTACCAAGTACTTAAAAAGTTATATCAATTCTCTATAATATCTTAGAAAGGATAGAAACAGGAGGAATACTTCTTAACTTATTCTATGAGGCCAATATTATCCTAATGCTACAAACAGATAAAGACATTGCAAGAAAAGAAACTACACACAAATAGTTCCCATAAGCATAATGTAAAAGTCCTCAAAAATATTTTAGAAAATTGAATCCAACAATGCATAAAAAGAATTATATACAATGACGAGTGGGTTTATCACAGATATGTAAAGCTGGTTCAACATTTGAAAATTAATGTAGTCCATCACATCAATAGGCTAAAAAAGAAAACCCACATGATCATCCCAATAAGTGCATAAAAATCATGTGACAAAATCCAACACCTACTCATGTAAAAACTCTTAGTAAGTAAGGATTAGGGGGAAACTTACTCAAATAGATAAAGAATAGCTACAAAAAAGTCCTATAGCTAACATCATATCTAATGGTAAGAAACCTGAGGCTTTCCCACTAAGATAAGGTATGTGAGGATGTCCCTTTTCACCACTCCTTTTGACATTGTACTGGAAGTTGTAGCTAATGTAACAAGACAAGAAAAGGAAATGAAAGATGTATGGTTGGGAATGAAGAAATAAAACTCTTTGTTTGCAGATGGCACGATCACCAATCATCTACGCAGGAAATCCAAAAGAAATGAACAAAAAATTCCTAGAACTAATAAACAATTATAGCAAGGTAGTAGGATACAAGGTTAATATATGGACATATTTTGCTTTCCTATATACTAGTAATGAACAAGTGGAATTAGAAATTAAAAACACAATATCATTTATAATCTCACCCCCCAAAATGAAATACTTAGGAATAAATTTAAAAAAATATGTAGAAGAGCTTTATGAAGAACTCTACAAAGCTGATGAATGAAGTCAAGGACAAACTAAATAAATGGAGATATTCCATGTTCATGGATGGAAGACTCAATATTGCCAAGAAGTCAATTCTTCCCGGTTCAATTTATAGATTCAATACAATCCCAGTCAAAATCCTAATATTTTGTAGATATTGACAAACTGATTCTAAAGTTTGTATGGAGAGACTAGAAAACCAGAATAGCTACCACAATATTTAAGGAGAAGAATAAAGTTGGAGGACAGATACTACTCAACTTTGACACTTAAGTATAGTTTCAGTAATCAAGATAGGGTGGTATTCGCAAAAGTATATAGACAAATAGATCAATTTAACAGAATTGAAAGGTCAGAAATAGACCCACATTTATATATAGTCAACTAATATTTGACAGAGGACAAAGGCAATGCAACTGAACAAAGAAAGTCTTTCCAGCAAATGGTGCTGGAACAACTGGACATCCATGGAGGAAAAAATGAACTAGACATAGATCTTATATCTTTCACAAAAAGTAACTCATAAAAGATCACTACTCTAAAAGTAAAATGCATAACTATAAAACTCTTAAAAGATAACAGGAGGAAAACCTAGTAATACACATTTTGTTTATGGTGATGAATTTTTGATAAACCACCACAGGCACAATTTGTGAAAGAAATAATTGATAAGCTGGACTTGATTAAAATTAAAATCTTCTGTTTTGCAATAGACAAGGTCAGGAGAATGAGAAGATAAGCTATGGACTGGGAGAAATATTTGTAAAAGATACATCTGATAAAGGACTGTTAGCCAAAATATACAAAGAACACTCAAAATTCAGCAATATAAAAACAAACAGCACTATTAAAAAATGGTCCAAAGCCCGGAACAGATTACCTCACTGAAGAAAATAAGCACATGGCAAATAACCATACAAAAAGATGCTCCACATACTATGTCACCAGAGAAATGCACATTAAAACATCATGACATACACTACATGCCTATTAGAGTGGCCAAGATCTAGAACACTGACAACAAAAAATTCTGGTAAGGATGTGGAGTCACAGAAACTCCCATTCATTGCTAGCAGGAATGCAAAGTAAGACAGCCAGCCACTTTAAAAGATAGTCTGATGTTTTCTTACAGAGCTAACCATACTCTTATCATATAGTCCAGCAATCATGCTATTTGATATTTACACAAAGAAACTGAAAACATGTCCATACAAAATCATGCATGTGGATAGTTACAGTAGTTTTATTTGTAATTGCCAAGCCTTGAATGTAATCAAGGTGTCCTTTAGTAGGTGAATTGATAAATAAGCCGTGGTACATCCAGACAATGCAATATTATCCAACACTAAAAAGAAATTAACTACCAGCTCCCATGAAGGAAAATTGTGTATTATTAACTTAAGGAAGCCAATCTGAAAAGGCTACATACTCTGTGATTCCAATTCTATGAAATTCTGGTAAAGGCAAAATGATGGAGACAGTAAAAAGATCAGTGGTTGCCAGGGGTTGGGGCAGGAGAGAGATGAGTAGGTGGAGGAAAAGAAATTTTTAAAGCAGTGAAAATACATGATACCATAATGATGGATACATGTCATTACATGTTGTGCCACCCCATGCAATGTACCACACCAAGAGTGAATTGTAATGTGAACTATGGAATTTGATGATTTTAATGTGTCAACATAGGGTTATCAATGGTGACAAATACACCACTGTAGTGTGGGATGTTGATAATAGGATAGGCTATGCATGGTAGGGGTAAGGGACATGTGTGTAATTTCTGTTCTTTCCCTTCACTTTTGCTGTGTGAACCTAAAACTTCTCTAAACACATAAATTCTTAATTAAAAACATACACACAAATGTAAATAGAAAAACTAACCAGAGCCAAATGTTGACTTTTTTGATAGATTAATGGAATTGACATGTTCCTAGAAACATTGGTATAAAAAGAGAGAAAGCACAAGTTACCATCCGACTGACATCACAGACCAGAGCCCACTGTCAGGTCACAGCATCGTGATCTATAAGCGGAGGTGGGGAGATTTAGCCCCTGGGCAGCAGCTCTGTCAGAGTCAGTGGATAAAGACCTCTCCTCGCGGCCTTCGTGGCTCCCAGCTGGTAAATGGCAGGCCCTCTATCAGGTCCCTTGGAGGTGCTCATGGGATCAAATTCCAGCTTCCCTCAGCCTTTCCTTGTCCGTCACTTTTGTCTTATGCCTGCTTGGGCTGCTTAACAAACTGCCATAGTCTGAGTAGCCTAAATGACAAACATTTATTTCTCACAATTCTGGAGGTTGAAAGTCCAAGATCAAGGCACCAACAGATTTGGGGTCTGGTGGACCCACTTCCTGGTTCATAGACATCTTCTCGTTGTACCCTGACATGGTATAAAGGACCATATTGTTCTCTGGATCCTTTTATAAGGGCACTAATTCCACTCATTAGGGCTCCACCCTGTGACCTAATCACCTCCTAAAGGCCCCACATCCAAACCATCACATTGGGGATTAGTGGGATTAGCATATTTATTTAGGGGGACACATTCATTCCATGGCAAGTCTCTCAGGGACCTCCTTCTACTTTCTGGGATTTCATCCAGTAAACTACCTATATACATGTTCTTACTCAGGCTCTGCTTTTGGTGGTAATTCCAAGCCAAAGAAAGTTAATTCTTCCTTTTTAATCCCAGGAGAGGATCTCTAATAAGGTTCCCAGTGAAAGGAACCAGAACCACTTGGAGGGCTACTGATTTCATGGCTCAGAAAAAAATCACAGTGGGTCTGGTCTGGACTTTACTAATAACCTAAAGTGAGGGTGCTTTCAGGATGTTGGACGGAGGGGCTCCCACGGGGTGGTGGTGCGGGGACTGGAGTCAAAAGACAGAATAACAATTATGTTTAATCAGAACATTATGTTTAAGCCAGTGAACAGCTATGAGTTCATAAAATACTAAAAGAGTCAGTATTATGTGACAAAACAGTAGCTGTAATATCAAAAAATGGTTAGTGTAATAGGATTAAGAGAAATGTATGGCTCTTTCAATAAGTATCAGAACATTAACATAAGCAAATTTTTTCTCCAAATTACATGTTAGTAAAAAGGCTTAGTATATGTGCATGCAAGAATGTATATATATATATATATATATATATATATGAGTAAATAGGACATGAAGAAGAAAATAATGTGTTTAGAGTAGAAATATGCTATCTGAAGGGCAGAGTTCGAAGAACAATAATTGTGTCACCAACAAAGTTTAAAAGTAGTATGTGAGTTAGCTTCACAGGTTTTCAAGGGACAACAACCTATGATGAACTTTTTTCAATTAAATGTGACGTAAAAATAATTTAAATACATTTTGTTTTGTTACTGTTGAGTAGATATGATTTACTTACTAGAAGTTCTTGGAAAACATGATTCAGTAAATGTGAAAATTTAATCCTATTTTTTGTAAGAATGGATGCAAACATAATACAATAACATGTAGTGTGAGAAACACACTCACTGATCCAAATTCAGTAAGTGGACATGGAGACAAAGAGAACAGCAGAGTGAGGCTTTAATGATGGTCTTGAAAGATCAGGTGCCTGGTGAGCAGGCACACCTGGGGAGTTTGGTATCAATAATTTATCTCCTAGTGCACAAGTCCCTCCCCTGGGGGGGTCGTCTAAGCCCTTACATTTGTCTTAATCCTATGGGTAGGCTTAAGAAACGCAAACAGATATAGCCAGGCCCTTATCAATTCTCACAGCCACTCTCAGCCTGAGCAGCTTCCACCACGTGGCCCTTTGTTAATATTTTACTGTTAAAATGTTTTTAAACCTCCTGGTGGGAATAAATCACATTTAGGTTTTATGGTGTTTTCTAACAGGTAGTACACAAAGATAAATTTTTTCTTTTAAAGTAGTCGTACCACAAAGTTGTGTGTTCATTGCTGTGTCTGTTACTTAAACTATTGTTAGGTCACTGCTTTGGAAATTTGGGAACTGTCTCCAGAGCTAATTGATAAGTTTTAAGAAAATAAGTCCTATTCTTCTATTCTTTTTTCTTTTCTTGTGTAGTTTCTTGCTCTCCTTTCATCTCTCCTCCCTCCCTCCCTTTTTCCCTTCCTTCCTTCCTCAATTGTTGGAAATGGCCTTTCTCCTTTCTCTTGCAAAATGTACACATAACATGGGAAGGGCCCTGTAACCACAGCTACTAGGTAAGGGGGCTAGAGCTGGAAGCTCTCCAGGTAGCCTCCTGAGATCCCTGGGGATGCCCTGGCTAACCAGCCTTCCTAAGGCCCAGTGGTTCAAATCTTGCTGTAACCATCTTTGTTTATTTCGGTTTACTTTGCTTTATTAACCAAAGTTGGTTTCAGCAGCTTGCAGCCATAGGCTCATAACTGAAACATGTGGCTTAACTGCCAAATTTGACTACATTTGATATCTGAGAAGACTTGGGACCAGAGAGGAAAATGAATTGTCTAAGGTCACATGGATATTCCCCAGCAGGACTGGACCTAGAACTCAGTAATACCCACTCCATTTCAGATATTTCCTTTATGTCACATTGCCCCTTACATTCAGCACTCCTTTCCCCCACTCTGCCCCTACCTAGCTGAGCACAGAGGTGTCACCACACACAGGCTATGTGACACCAGAAGCCTTTTGGAAGTGGGTGAAAAGAAATGCACCAGGAAAAGTATTAGAGGAATAAGTACCAGATGAGATGGTACATCTACAACGTGCAATGAATGTGATTTAGGATTTCCCACACACCAGTAAAGGTGACAAAGCATGGAGGCATTGCTCTGGGACCCCATCTCCTGTTTCCCTGGACTGTTCTTAATCGCTTCTTGTTACAGAAATGATGGGATTTAAACCTATATTTTAATGGTAAATATATGCTTACACATGATAAAAAGTTCAAACTATGAAAAGCAAACTGTTCTCCCAACTCCAAAGCTCCAACACCAGTCTCTCCAACTGCATTCCATCCCCCACGGGTCCTAGCCTTGCCTCCCAGCCTCCCTCTCAATGGGCTGTGCTGCACAAATTGTCATGTAGAATCCTTGGTGTTTCTGAGCAGAGAGGAGGATGAAAACCTGATGACTGAGGGGAGAATGACAGGTAAAGAAAGGGAAAAGGTCAATATAGACAAATCTTCCAGAAAGTTGGCTGTGTAAGAAAGCAAAGAAAGGGGAGCAGAAAAAACAGCTATGATTTGTTTAGGGAACACTTTAAATGATTTCTTTTTCTACTGGGACAAGAAAAAAAAGTATACTTACCTGTGCCTTATACGTTCTTTAATAATGAAGTTACTGGGAGAAATGGAATGTCTTTCAGGTGATTTGATGAAATTGTGCTCAATTTTAAGAATTACATTTGCATCTTGAAAGATATTTTACTGAATTCCACATCCCAGCCGCGGAGTGTGAAGAGTGGCCCTCAAAATTTCAACATTCTGAGTATGGTGTTTTCAGGAGACAATACAGGATGGTGGTGTGCACAGAACAGCGGGATGGTTTGCATTAGGCGTCCTGTGCTGCCATCTACTGTAGGTAGGTCAGCACTGGTCGTTCTGGGTCCCACTGAGGCGGAGAAACGCTAAGGTGTCTAGGGCCCTAGGAGACACGTGACAGTGCTGTTTGCTTTGTCCAAGCAGGGCCCTCCGTGGGCTGGAGATGCTTCCCAATGGAGCCTAGGCTTTGGATCAGCTGATCTGCATCAGCAGTGCCCTGCACCTCCTCAAAAGGACTTATGAAACATGTTTCTGGGTCCTGTACAAAGTAAGGTGGCAGAAAATGATATGCGTGGTCCAACCATAGTTCGAATGAACAGCCTTGAGGACACCATGAAAAATAAACCCATCACTGAGCAGATACTTCACATATTTGGGGCAGCCAAATGTTTTACAGTGAGAAAAAGTCTCTGTAAAAATGTGCCACTGCGTGTGCACATTATTTCATGTATTTGGTATTGTTTCTTTGGAGCTAATTCCTAGAAACATAATTTGTAGATCAGAGAACAAATGCATATACAAATCTGCTAGATATTGCCAGATCCCCTCTGGAGGGGTTGCACTATTTTGTGTCACCACCAAAAAGGCGTGCATCTGGCTGGGTCTCCGCAGCCTCGCCCACACAGGAGTTCCTGCTCTTGGACAGCCCTGATCTGTTAGGCAAGACATGGTCGGTCCTTGTTCTCGCACTTTGTTCCTCTGAATATTATTGTTTCAGTCAAGGCCCAGCCAGGAAAAGAAAAGCCAGACCAGTTATTGTAATAGAGAAAACTTCAGTTAAAAGGGTAAAGGGTAAACATAAACTGGTGGACTAAACAGGCTAAAAGGAAATACGAGGTAACAGAGGCAAGAAGTCTAGTTATATTAAATATATTAAAACTTTATATCTGGAATATAGAGTGGCTCTGGGTTTCTAACTGAGCCTAACTTCTCTCTCTGACTCTTTGCACATAATCATAATAGTGCCCCCTGACTCACCTGCTCAAATTTTGATATGTAGCTTTTTACTCTCACGGAATAGAGAGGCTTCTTACAGCCTAGGGAACCCAGGGCCCATAGCGTGCTTACCCCTCTCAAAGACTATTATAATGTATCAGACATAGACACCATTTTATATAAACATATCACTACCTCCCCAGCAATACATCATAGCAGTGATTCACTGTATCACTGTGTCCTGGACTAGCCTGTAAAGTTCACCTGGGGTGTGTCAGAAATGTAAATAATCTGGCTACAGCCCAGACTTACTGAATAAGCAATTCTGGGAGTGGACTCAGCATCTGTTTTAACAAGTCCTCCAGGTGATTCTGATGAATGCTGAAATAAATAGAGGACCACTGGGTCAGAGGTCCCTCCTCTGTGCTCTCACAGCACCCTATGCTTGCTTTACTAATTTACATAGTTTTCCATTCCTCTTACTACCCATGTAATGGAAGTTCCTTTATGCTAAGGCTGTCTTGATCAGTTTTTTTTCTACCACACACACTGAATAAATGAACATAAGAATGTGGAAGCTAAGAATTTTTAACATTTTACTCATTAGTGTAGGGTGGAAGAAATATAGCAATACTTGGGAAAAAAACCATCTTTGGAACTTTTTTCTCCCCAAACAAAACATCCAGAGATTGTATAAGAAAGAAGCCTGCCAGAAAAGGACTCAGAGTGTGGTAAAACTGAGATATGGTGGTTATTCAGAATATTGAGGGGCTGTATGCTTTTGTAGGCAGCTGTTCAAAGAGACAAACCTGCCACACTCACATTCTGTTACTCAAACTTCCTGGACATTTCCTTTAATTCACTCACTCAGAAGACTGGGATTTTCTGTCCCAAGAGGCTCATGATAGGAGCAAAAGCCTGCAGTGCCACTTTAGTTACCCCAGAAGGCTACCACGTTACTGACCTATTGGCTTCCAGCTTTAGGGCTCTCAGAAGAAATGTAAACCAAAGTTAAGCTGGGAACACATCAGAACCTGGGAGTGTTTTCTTTATTTGATAGAAAATATGAATCTGTTCAGGATAAAAATATAAACTATGATATTTAACAATACACAGAGGACTCTGTTGCAAGATCCTATGGTTGCTCTCAAAATTGGTAAGTTCATTACATTTAAGAAAGTGGTATTGGTCCCAGCCAGAGGTTACTCTACTCACAAAACTGTTAAAAGAACACGGCAAATCTTCAAAATGGCCCCTGCAACAAAGAGACTTGGCTGTCATTAATAGGACACTTGTTAAGTGGTCAAAGAGCAAGCCTTTTGTAAAAGTAACTGCAATCACCTCATATTCATGAAATGCTCTGTGGATATCCTCTTGGATGCTGCTGTTGTCAACTTCCAACATATGACCCTGCACTCAAATGCAAGG